GGATTTGTTTTCTTCTTATGACTGAATAATATTCCATCGTGTATATGTACCACATCTTCTTTATCCATTCATCTACTGATGGACACTTAGGTTGCTTCCATTTCTTGGCTATTGTGAATAGTGCTGCGATAAGCATAGGGGTGCATCTGTCTTTTTCAAACTTGAGTGCTGCGTTCTTAGGGTGAATTCCTAGGAGTGGAATTCCTGGGTCAAATGGTAAGTCTATTTTGAGCATTTTGATGAACCTCCATACTGCTTTCCACAATGGTTGAACTAATTTACATTCCCACCAGCAGTGTAGGAGGGCTCCCCTTTCTCCACAACCTCACCAACATTTGTTGTTGTTTGTCTTTTGGATGGCAGCCGTCCTTACTGGTGTGAGGTGATACCTCATTGTGGTTTTAATTTGCATTTCTCTAATAATTAGCTATGTGGAGCATCTTTTCATGTGTCTTTTGGCCATCTGTATTTCTTTTCTGGAGTACTGTCTGTTCAGTTCCTCTGCCCAGTTTGGGGAAGTTTTCAGCAATTATTTCTTCAAAGACACTTTCTATCCCTTTTCTCTCTCTGCTTCTTCTGGTACCCCTATAAAACGATATTGTTCCTTTTGGATTGGTTACACAGTTCTCTTAATATTGTTTCATTCCGGAGATCCTTTTATCTCTCTCTATGTCAGCTTCTATGCGTTCCTGTTCTCTGGTTTCTGTTCCATCAATGGCCTCTTGCATCTTATCCATTCTGCTTATAAATCCTTCCAGAGTTTGTTTCATTTCTGTAATCTCCTTCCTGGCATCTGTGATCTCCCTCCGGACTTCATCCCTTAGCTCTTGCATATTTCTCTGCATCTCTGTCAGCATGTTTATGATTTTTATTTTGAATTCTTTTTCAGGAAGACTGGTTAGATCTGTCTCCCTCTCTGGTGTTGTCTCTGTGATCTTGGTTTGCCTGTAATTTTGCCTTTTCATGATGATAGAAATAGTTTGCAGAGCTGGAACGAGTGACGGCTGGAAGAATTTCCCTTGTTGGGTTGTGGCCTTCCTCTCCTGGGAGAACAGCGACCTCTAGTGGCTTGTGCTGGGCAGCTGCGCGTGGACAGGGCTGCTGCTTCCTGTCCGGCTGCTACGGAGTTTATCTCCGCTGTCGCTGTGGGCATGGCCTGGCTCGGGCTGCTGCTCCAAAATGGTGGAGCCCTGTTGGAGGGGGAGCGGCCGGGAGGCTATTTATCTCCGTAAGGGGCCTCCTTGCTCCCTGCTGCCCAGGGGGTTAGAGTGCCCAGAGATCCCCAGATTCCCTGCCTCTGGACTAAGTGACCCACCCTGTCCCTTTAGGACTTCCAAAAAGCACTTGCCAAAACAAAACAGAACAAAACAAATCAAAAATTAAATAAATAATTAAAAAAAAAAGCCACCACTCGCTTTTCTTTGTCCTCGGGCGCTGGCCTCAGGGATCCGCTCACCAGTCCTGCCCCCTTTCCCTAGTATTGAGGTCCCTGTCCCTTTAAGACTTCCAAAAAGCACTCGCCAAAACAAAACAGAACAAAACAAATCAAAAATTAAATAAATAATTAAAAAAAAAGCCACTCGCTTTTCTTTGTCCTCGGGCGCTGGCCTCAGGGATCCGCTCACCAGTCCTGCTGCCCTCTTTCCCTAGTATTGGGGTCCCTGTCCCTTTAAGACTTCCAAAAAGCACTCGCCAAAAAAACAACAAAAAAAACAATGGCCACTCCCGTTTCTTCTCCAGCGGTGGCCTCAGGCACGCGCTCACTGGTCGTGCCACCCTGTTTCCCTAGTATCCAGGACCCCACTCATGCTCTGTGTCTGCACTCTGGTCCGGATGGCTGGGGCTGGGTGTTCAGCAGTCCTGGGCTCCTTCTCCCTCCCTGCTGACTCCTCTCCTCCTGCTGGGAGCTGGGGGGAGGGGCACTCGGTCCCGCCGGCCAGGGTTTGTATCTTACCCCCTTCGCGAGGCGCTGGGTTCTCGCAGGTGTGGATGTGGTCTGGATGTTGTCCTGTGTCCTCTGGTCTCTATTCTAGGAAGAGTTGTCTTTGTTATATTTTCATAAATATATGTGGTTTTGGGAGGAGATTTCTGCTGCTCTACTCACGCCGCCATCTTGGCTCCGCCCCCTAGATTGGTGTTTTAAATGACTGTTTTAAGTTCTAGATATGAGTGCTTTGGCAGATACATGTTTGCAAATATTTTTTCTCACTCTGAAGCTTGACTTTTAATTCTCTTGAAAGGGTCTTTTGCAGAGCTAAAGTTGATAATTTTTATGTCTGGATGTGTTAATTTTCCTTTCATGGACCATGCTTTTGGTATTTAGTCCAAGAACTCTTCACCCAGCTCTGTCTTGAAGATTATCTCTTAATGATGTTTACAAAAAGCTTATAGTTTGTTTTACATTTAAACCCATGATACATTTTGAGTTAGTTTTTAAGGTGTGAGGCTTAGGTTGAGGTTAATTTTTTTGTCTGTAAATATCCAGAAGCTCCAGCACTAATTGCAAAGTCCGTCTTTCCTGCATTGAATTACTTTTGCACTTTTGTGAAAAATCATCTGGGCATATTTGTGTGGGATTATTTCCAGGTTCCCTGTTATGTTCTGTTAATCTATATGTTTATACTTCCCCCATACCTCATAGTCTTGATTCCTACAGCTATTTAATAAGCCATAAAATTAGGCAGGCCAATTCCTTCCAATCTTTTCTTCCCCCCATAATTGTTTCCATACACATTTAGAACAATTGTGTCTATGTCTACAAAATATCTCTCTGGGATTCTGATAGGAGTTTGACTGTAAACTTGCATATCCCTCTGTTTGTTTTTCACAGCTGTGGCGGGGTTGGGGTGGGGCTACTTTACTGGTTCTTGGCTAGTTTGGAAGTTGAGGGTTTTGCTTGGGCCTCTGATTTTGCCCTGGTGGAGGGTGTTGGGCGCCTTGCTACTGCCTCAGAAGGGTGAAGTTGGGGCTCTCCACCTGGTGTTTTTTGCTTGTCTGATTAGTGTCTTGTGGTGTTTGTTTGAGTAGAGGGGTTACTGTGCAGAGCTTTCTGTCTTGCTGGGCTGCTGTTTTTCTGGTTCTTGGATAAGAGAACAGGCTTTTGTTGGGAGCTTCTGTCGTGTGTGCTGCTGGCTTCACAGCTCCAGGCCTGGGCTGTCGGAGGCAGATGCCAAGGAGCTCTGCCTTGTGGCCCCTCGCCAGCTTGTCTTCTCTCCACCTTCCCAGGCCATCTTATGTTTACCTATGTGTGTGATGTCTGGAGTACCCCCACATTTTCTTTTCTAGATTATAAAAATTTTGAACATTGAGGAACATAGGGCAATGAATACCAACAGACCTACTTTTTCCTACATTTGAGAGTTGTAAATGTTTCCCCATATGTCTTAATCTGTTTTTTATTGTTTTAAAAGTAAATTAGACATAATGACTTCACCTTCAAATATTCAATATGCATTGCTAAAAAAGTAAGGTTTTTAAAATAAAGTAAAATTTCTATGTCAAAAAAATAAGATTTTCGTTCATAGGGACAGTACTTTATATCTAATGAATTATAGTAATATCGTAATATTATCTAATATCCAGCTTACACTTCAGTTTTCCTCATTGTTCCCAAAATGTCTTAGAGCTGGTTGAACAGTGAGATCTAATCAAGATCAAGAATTCAAGCTAGTTGTTAGGCTTTTAAGTGTCCTTGAAGAGTTCCTCTCCTGCTTTTTTCTCCATGACATCAGTTTGTGGAAGAAACAGTCACAGTTTAATCCTGGAATACCCTATCAATAAGATTTGTCTGATTATTTTCCTGTCTTTCTTTACCGCCTGCATTTTCTGTAAATTTGACAATAAATCTAAAGGCGTTATTAGATTTAAGTTTGGCAAGAATATTGCATAGGTGATGCTGTGAACAGATTTCCTGAGGGACTCAAGCTTGTATCGTTTGTTAACTTTTTTATGTGATGAAGATGCCTTCTGCATCCTGTAACATACTACTGGATGACATAGAAGATATTGTGTCACAGGAAGATTCGAAGCCACAGGACAGGCATTTTGCAAGAAAGCACATTGTTCCAAAAGTGCGAAAGCGAAATACCCAAAAACACTTGCAAGAAGAAAGGCCACCAAGTGATAGGTAAGCTCTTTTCTTTTGAAGTTAGTATCACTGGGGAGAAGGTGCCACTACTGGTCTGTGTGGTATACACAATGTCTCTTTTTAAAAAATGTTGAACTTTTGAGAGGCAATATATAGATTTATTTTTTTATTTGAATGGTTTCAAATTTAGCAAAGTAATTGGTTAAAAAAGAAAAAGAGGTCAAATTGCATGTTCTTCAAGGCAGGGTGTGGGATGGTGTTCGGCGTGAAGATAGGCACCCCCCGCCCCGCTGGAGCTCTCTGATGTTACTCTAGTTGGTATGTAATTTTGTGTTACTTCCAAATTAAAATTTTTGCTGGAATTTCTGATTCCTATGAGACAGTGGTGGTTTGAACATTTGATTTTTCTTAGCAGATTTACAGATACTTATGAATCAGCTGAAGACATTGGACACAAATTATTGTGCTGTTTACACTATTAGGTCTCTAGTGAAATTCTAATACAACCTAGCCAGGAAGGATTCTGCAGTTGTGTAGTTTAATACGCTTATATTTGTTAGTAAGTTGTTGAAAGTTTTAATACACTTATTTTCTTTGGAACCTTAGGCTTTTAAAATCTATGGATTTAAAGTTAGCTTATATTTTCTTTGCTGAAGTTTATCAGATTTGTCCTGAATGTATCAAGGTAATTTCTATTTAGTTACAAATTACTAGGGCAATAGAAATTGAAAGTCCTTTGTTTTCTTTCCTAAAATACTACATTTTTAGAATTCTATTTTTATATACAGAATACTTTAAATAATACTGTAGCATGACAGTTTTTTCATTTTGATTATTTATGTCTATAAAATAAAGGTTATAGGTAGTGTATAGGAGTCTGTTTTTGGGCGGATAGATAGATGTACCTACTCTTTCTTTCTTTACTCTTGTTGCTAGAACCATTTTCTTTGCTATTGCTATTTGTATGTATTTTCAGGACAGTGGTAATATGTTAATAGTACTGAAATTAAAATACAATTCAAAGAAGAAGGAGATTTTTTTGTAGAGAGTCTTCACTTCTTAGACTGGTTATTTTATCTTGATTTTAGATTTTGAGGTAACAACCCGTTATTCTGAAGTTGGTGCATTTGATGGATAGCTTGTGAATGATTTGTAGTGTCTGCATTTTTGCCTAATATTCCCAGAAGTCATCTAGTGCTTTTTATTAAAAATGCCTTAATGAGACTTTTTTTTATTGTTTGATAGCACTATTCCCGGCATACAGAAAATTTGGATACGAACATGGGGTTGTTCTCATAATAATTCAGATGGAGAATATATGGCTGGACAACTCGCTGCTTATGGATATAAAATTACAGGTAATGAGATCTATACTATATTTCACTGGTTAAATTTTCAGAGCTAAGTTTCTTATATGTATTCTAGGTTCAGCAATTGAAGGATATTTCAGCATAACTTCATGATTTTAAGGGAGAACAAAATGACAGCTATTATACATTGCCTATATCATATTTAAAAAATTAAAAAACTATTGAAAAAAGTTTAAACTTAAAGAAAAACAGTAAAATTACAGAGACTTGTCATATGCCCTTCATCCAGCTTCCTCCAATGTTAACATCTTACATAATTATACTTAATAAACTACGGAATTAACATAAGTGCAACACCGTTATGTAAACCACAGATCTTACTTGAATGTGCCAGTGTTCCCATTTGTATCCCTTTTCTGACCCAGGATCTAATCTAGGTTGTCTCCTTACAGGATTTGTATTGTTTCTGTAGTCTCTGGGGTGTGACGGTCCCCCAATCTGTTCGTTGTCCTTCATGGCCTTGGACTTCTGAAGGAAACTGTTCCCTAGAAGGGCCCTCTCTGGGTTTTCTGATGTTTTCTCATGATTAGAATAAGGTTATTTGTGCATTTCTGGCACAGCACAGCTGATACTGTCGCCTTGGTGCATTACACCAGGGCTCATGGTAGACGTCAGGATGTCTTACTGCTAGTGCGCTAACCCTTGTCTGCCAGATTTCTCCACAGTGAAGCTACTGTTACTCTCATTGTAATAAGTATTCTTTTTCTCCTTAACTTTGGCCTTCTAGTTTTGGTATCTGTAATTGTAGTGTCTGTCAGTGGATCTTGTGTGTACCAGTTATTATTGTACTGTTTACCATTGATTTTTTGCGTGATTTCTTCCACATTTATTAATTGGAATTCTTCTCTAGGGAAGGGCTGTCCTCTCTCCCCTATTTGTTTATTTATGTCAGTATGGGCTCATGGATTTTCCCCCCCTATGGTTTATAGTCTGCTACTACTGTTATTTTGCTGCTCATATTGTTCCAGCTTTGTCCACAGGACCTCATTCGGGCTGGCTCCTGTGTCTTCTGAACATGCCCCTTTCTTTTGGAATATTTCCTTATTTTCTTGCACCACAAATTGTTCTAGTCTCGTATTTGCCCCTCCCCAGCTTTGGAAGCAACTGCTTTGGCGAGGAGTCCCTCTCCCTCTCCCTAAGAGAGTGGGGTTTGCACCCAGAGCACAGCTGCGGCCTCTGGGTGTGCTCGCTGTCACCGTGGAGTGACAGGGCTTCTAGTTCTCTCAGTGACTGAGCTGGGCGACGTGTCTGTATACTAACCAGCACATACACGTGTTCACATCTGTTACATCAGGTATCTGTACGTGTATTAAATGGAACCATAGTTGGAATGCTTTGGGACAGGCAGTGGTTCAGTGTGTGCTGTCTGTTACCGTGCTTCGTCCTTGTGAGGGGAGGAAATACTGGCGTTCCTGCTGTGCAGGTGAGAATAGAGAGGTGGTGTCTTCTCTTTCGCCCCAGAGGCAGGGATTCTCTTTCACCCCAGAGGCTGCTCTTGACCAGCGTCCAGGCCTTGGAGTTGGCTCTGCATATGTAGTTGGCAAGTTCTAGCTCGCAGTTCGCATGCGAGGATTAGGGAGGGTTGGAAACTTAAATCTTCATAGCGTCATTTCCTTTAGCAGCTAAGTGAGCATGTGCCACTAACTCTGTGTTTTTGATAACTTATTCTTCAGTCAGCATAATCAGTCTTGATACTTTTGTTCTTTAGGTAAAAATACTCAAAATATGCTTTTAGAATTACTTCTCTATTAGTGACTTTTAGTATAATTTAGCTTGGGCTTCCCTTCACTTCTGACGGTGAAATGTGAGTATTAAAATAGTCTTTAAGATAGTTCCTAAAATAAAACAAAATCAGATTTTGACATTTCGTGGGTGGTATTAAATATTGAACACATTTTACTGTACATTTTAGTCCGTTAGCTTTGTGTGTGGTCTTACAACTGTATTTGTCTGTGTAAAATAACAGTCCTGATGTGTTTATGCAAGAATATAAAGCTTTGTAGTGTATACCTATTTTGGCCTTCGTATTTGTGAATAGTCAGAGGGGAGAACTAAGGAAGCAGTCACTTGAATATGAAATTTACTTTTCTTACTAATGTGTATGTTACTTTTATGTACGCATTACTTGCATATGTTTATATTCATTTCATATACTGTTGATTGTCTCCATTTTAGAAATTCATGGCCAGTTTTTACCTCCAGCCTGGCTGTGCAGCAGAGTGTAGGGCTTTACTCCCTTGGCCAAGAGCTCTCAGCCTAGGAAATATGAGCTGTACCAGCTTCTGTAAAACATTTATGAAGCAAACGTCTAGAAATTTTATATTTTGATTAGATTTATGAGATGAATGATTTCTGGATGACCTCTTTATTGTGGAATAGGGGGAGTTTATAAAAATTATTATTGTTTAATAATTTGTAATGTTCTGTTAATCAGATGTAGACCTAAAATATTTTCACTTAACTGTGTAATTGATATGAAATAGGTATAAAATACAGATTGTGTATAATGTATTCAGGTTATTGAAAGTGTTCCATAGAGAAATTCAAAATTAGCTCTCACCTATCAGTAGTTGATATTTTTACTGTTTGGGGAAAAAAAGAGATGATGTGGGTATATACTTGAAATGGCTGCTTTTAGCTCTGTGCACACTCAGGACTGATGACTCCATAGTAAAATCTCATAGAGGCTTGGAGCAGTTAGCTCTGTTCATTGCCTCTTGCAGGCCCTCTTTGATTATAAAGATGGCTCCTAACATAAAATAATGCCTGCTTGCTTCTTATTTCAAAGAATGAACCTTGAGGAGAAATGATGTCATTCCCCAAACTTAGGACAGTTAATGGTGTCGCGGGTCTTTGGATGCAGAATGGAGTTACACTGGCACGAAGGGGGGCAGCTGGGCTGTCCCTCTGGTGCAGAGGTCCTTGCTGCCTGTGGTTATTGTTCCCGGATTCTTTCTTTGGAGCTGTTGGCACATTATTTTCAGTGTCCTCACTCGTGGCAGATCTTCATATTTTTAGAGTATGCTTATCATTCAGATAGTCACAGGCCACTTGTGGCCAAATGCGATGGACAAAGTATGTGCTATGATGTTGAAAAATGCTGCTTTAGTTAGAGATAGGGCATTGTTTAAAAGTAAGTGATTCTGCAAACTGTTCTCTAACAGTTCCAAAAAATGTTTGTAGCAGCAATTCTTAGACTTTTTGGGCCTCTGCAGACCTCACAAGTCTTAACACAGCTTCAGTAAAGAACTCATAACCATCGCTGAGCCCAGTGGTGGAGTCAGGTATTTCTGTCATGGTGTCTGCTGTAGGGACAACCCTTGTTTAGATGCAGATATGGTCAGATGTGTTAAACAGAGTTGTGTCAGAGACAGAGATTGGGAGAGATGTTCAGCTTGCAGTCATTCCTGCTGTGAGGAATGTAGCATGTACTTTCTGGTTAGTGGAAAAAGCCCATCCAAGGCCACTGACTGAGTGTCTAGGTCGTTAGGGAGTCACGTTTGTGAAGGGTTTGTGATAAGCTTACCTAAATCAAAATAGGGCAGTTAGCTTGGGTGCCCACGGTTTCAGAGAAGCTGTTTTAAAACTGCTTGTCTGTAACGGTTTTTGATGCACTGCATAGGGTCGTTTGTTTGTATGTAGTTTAGTCATTCAGCAAATGTTATCAGAGCATGATATGGGTTACAGGGTGCTGCATGTGTTACAGGCTAAGAAGGGTGAAGACACGTAATGAACTAGATGTGGATTCCAGCAGACAAGAAGGTTATTGTTTTTTGGCAAAGGAAAATTGTGCGTACTGTGTATTTAATTGTAGCAGTTATTTTAGTAAATGGTTAAGTTCCAACGTATTTTATAATACAGGGGAAGTAGGACCTGATTTATTCAAAGAACTTGTACAATTTGTATTTTAGAAATGCTTTGTGATAATGTCAAGTCAGAATATAACATTTTTATGTTTGAATTTAGAAAACTAATGTCACTCTGTAGAAACAAATACTAGTTTATTTGGTATAGGAAGTTGTACATGACTGAACACTAACTATTTCTCTGACCTGGCAATTTAACTTGAAGTAGCTTTAAATTTTAAGACTGAGGTCAGTGGAATATACTAGATTGATATGTGTAAATGTTTGTGTAAGGAACATATTCAGGGACCACACTTGTGGTCAGTAGAATTTCAAGGACATTAAAGTTACCCTTTTGTGCTTAGATTTAGAATTTTGCAAGTTGCACTTGTACGTAAGTCAAGTATTAGTTGCATGTAGAACTTCATGAGAAAAAAGTACATGATCTTATCTCTTCTTTCAGAACTGGTGACCATGACATTTCTCATCAATATCTTGAGTTGACTTACATAATAAAAGACATTAAGATGAATAATTCTTTGGGATGCTGAAAAAGCAGTAGACCCCCAGCTTCTTCAAAATTCAATTGAAAGGTAGATAGTCTATTGTGCTTCCCTGAGCACAAGACAGTGCTTTTTCAAGGTACAACACAAAACAAAATGAGTTTTGTGTGCTGGCTAGTTCTAGGTGAAATCAAGATTTTTGTGCACATTTTCAGGGAATTGGTTAAAGGCCTACTGTGTGTTCGGCATTTCACATAAGTTATTGCAAGGATCAATGGATACCACTTTGGCCTGAGGTTCCTGCGTTTTTTCAGACAAGGGGATCCAGACGGGAGAAGGAGGGCGCATGACTGACAGCAGCTGTCCTGACCTCACGTGTAGAGCTGGTTGAAACGCATCTGTTGGTACGCTGCATCGTCTCTCTGAGCTGGCCTTCCAAAGGTGGCTCAGGATGGAATTCAGTAATGTCAGTGGCTTTTACTAGGGTGGGCTGCTCTGCTGCCATCATTTTAAAACTTCTTTTCTTCTTACGAGTCTTACATGGGATCCTTATGAGGATCCTTTCTTTTCTGGTGGAGGGGTGAGGGGTTCTGCACCCATGGGGCCCACACCACAGCAGTGTGCCCAGGTCATTAATCTC